GACACCCTTATCCACTGGACCATACGATCCTTAAGAGTAGCACATCCAGCGGAACTGGATGTTGTACTCTCTACCCAAGGACACATGATGGTGTGGCAAGTGCAGTGTTGTTATTGTTCAATACCACTTGTTCGTGGTCACAATAATATAAAATACTCTCGTTGAACCAGTACAACAAACAGGGACTAGAATGAAATTAACCTAGAGTCAGCCACACCATCGTGTGTCCTTGGGTAAAACTGGTCAATTAACAAGAATTCATTTAAAATGCCTGCAAGGAAAAATGTATTGGTGAAACCATACCCCAACAACTTTCACAATTACTAACACAACATCTACCACCCCAACAACTATCCCAACATCTACCACAACAACTACCACAACTACTACCACAACAACTACCACCCTAACAACTACCACAACTACCACAATAACTATCACAGCAACAACCACAGCGACTACCACAACAACTACCACAACTAGTACGACAAAAACTACCACAACAACTACCATAACTACTACCACAACAACTACCACAATAACTATCACAGCAACTACCACAACAACTGCCACCACAAACTACCACAACAACTACCACCAACAACTAACACAACTACTACTACTACTAAAACTACCAAAACAACTATCGCAACAACTTCCACAACAACTACTAAAAACAACCACAACTACTAATGCAACAACAACCACAGTAACTACGACCACAACTACCACAACAACTTCCACAACAACGGCCACAACCACTATCACAACTATCACAATAACTACCACAACAACTACCACATCTACCACAACAACTATCACAACAACTACAACAACAACTATCACAACAAATCCAAATCCAGTCATTCCTGGAGTGGAACCACAGTCGATGGCCTCCAAACCAACAGATACAGATACTAATGCCGGAAAAAGAGCCCCCTCAATACCACCAATACCACCAGTCCGATGACATTCTTCTTTGCAAATATACGTGGTCTAAAGCCAGAACGAACAACAAAATACCTTTCATCCGTGAACTGCTTGCAGAGGCAAATGCAATGCTCGCGGCTTACACAGAGACTCACATAAAGGATCACTTGGACAACGAAATATGGATCCAAGGTTAAAACATATACAGATGCGACAGAGTGAACAAGCAAAAAAAAAAGGAGGGGGGGTTAGCCTGTATATCGCAGAGTCACTTGTTTTCACAGAACTGCTTATTGCCTCAAATGATGTAGTGGAAGTTTTAGCAGTAAAGATCGAGAACCAAAACTTAGTCATTGTGGTAATCTAGCAGTTCCAGGAACAGCTGTTAAAAATTGACCACTGTCTGGAAAATCTGCCAGCTCCTGCCTCCAACATCTTGCTCCTGGGGGATTTCAACTTAAGGCACCTAAAATGGAGGAATATAACAAATAATGTTGTTGCAGTAATAACACCAGGAGGCAGCTCTTACAAGAACTCACACACACACGAGCTTTTAAATCTCTGCTCAAAATTCAACTTAAACCAGCAAATAATAGAGCCTACTAGACTGAAGAATACACTGGACCTCATCTTCACTAACAATGATGATCTGATAAGAAATGTCACCATATCAAAAACAATATACTCAGATCACAACATAATTGAGGTTCAGACATGTATGCGCGGAGCCCCAGACCGACATAATGAGATTAGTCATGAGGGAGCATTCACCAAATTCAACTTCAATAACAAAAACAAAGTGGGACCAAGTAAACCAAGTCATAACCGATATAAGCTGGGAAGATAGACTAAGCAACACAGACCCCAACTTATGCCTAGAACAGATTAACTTGGTGGCACTCGATGTAAGCTCAAGGCTTATTCCTTTAAGAAAAAGGAGGAGCAGATGTAAAATAGAAAGAGACAGGCGCTCGGTTTATAGGCGACGAAAAAGAATAACAGATAGGCTAAAAGAGGCCAATATATCTGAAATGCATAGGGAGTCAATGGTCAGAGAAATAGCGAACATCGAACTTACCTGGAGTTTACCTGGAGAGAGTTCCGGGGGTCAACGCCCCCGCGGCCCGGTCTGAGACCAGGCCTCCTGGTGGATCAGAGCCTGATCAACCAGGCTGTTGCTGCTGGCTGCACGCAAACCAACATACGAGCCACAGCCCGGCTGATCCGGAACTGACTTTAGGTGCTTGTCCAGTGCCAGCTTGAAGACTGCCAGGGGTCTGTTGGTAATCCCCCTTATGTGTGCTGGGAGGCAGTTGAACAGTCTCGGGCCCCTGACACTTATTGTATGGTCTCTTAACGTGCTAGTGACACCCCTGCTTTTCATTGGGGGGATGGTGCATCGTCTGCCAAGTCTTTTGCTTTCGTAGTGGGTGATTTTCGTGTGCAAGTTCGGTACTAGTCACTCTAGGATTTTCCAGGAATCTTATAAGAGTCAGGAATCGAGGGAAGAACTAAAAGCCATAAATGAAATCGAAAGAAACCCAAAGTATTTCTTCTCCTATGCCAAATCAAAGTCGAGAACAACGTCCAGTATTGGGCCCTTACTTAAACAAGATGGGTCCTACACAGATGACAGCAAGGAAATGAGTGAACTACTCAAGTCCCAATATGACTCAGTTTTTAGCAAGCCGCTAACCAGACTGAGAGTCGAAGATCAAAATTAATTTTTTATGAGAGAGCCACAGAATCTGGTTAACACAAGCCTATCTGATGTTATCCTGGCGCAAAATGACTTCGAACAGGCGATAAGTGACATGCCCATACACTCTGCCCCAGGGCCAGACTCATGGAACTCCGTATTCATCAAGAACTGCAAGAAGCCCCTATCACGAGCTTTTACCATCCTATGGATAGGGAGCATGGACACTGGGGTCGTCCCACAGTTACTAAAAACAACAGACAGCCCCACTCCATAAAGGGGGCAGTAAAGCAATAGCAAAGAACTACAGACCGATAACACTAACATCCCATATCATAAAACTCTTTAAAAGGGTCCTAAGAAGTAAGATTGCCACCCATCTAGAAACCCATCAGTTACACAACCCAGGGCAACATGAGTTTAGAGCAGGTCACTCCTGTCTGTCTCAACTATTGGATCACTACGACAAGGTCCTAGATGCACTAGAAGACAAAAAGAATGCAGATGTAATATATACAGACTGCAAAAGCCTTCGACAAGTGTGACCATGGCGTAATAGCGCACAAAATGCGTGCTAAAGGAATAACAGGAAAAGTTGGTAGATGGATCTATAATTTCCTCACAAACAGAACACAAAGAGTAGTAGTCAACACAGTAAAGTCTGAGGCAGCTATGGTGAAAAGCTCTGTTCCACAAGGCACAGTACTCGCTCCCATCTTGTTCCTCATCCTCATATCTGACATAGACAAGGATGCCAGCCACAGCACCGTGTCTTCCTTTGCAGATGACACCCGAATCTGCATGACAGTGTCTTCCATTGTAGACACTGCAAGGCTCCAGATGGACATCAACCAAATCTTTCAATGGGCTGCAGAAAACAATATGAAGTTCAACGATGAGAAATTTTAATTAATCCGATATGGTAAACACGAGGAAATCAATACTTCATCAGAGTACAAAACAAATTCTGGCCACAAAATAGAGCGAAAAACCAACGTCAAAGACCTGGGAGTGATCATGTCGGAGGATCTCACCTTCAAGGCAGGTGAAATTGCTGACCTAGAAAATGCACAGAGAACCTTCACAGTGCACATAACGGAGATAAAACACCTCAATTACTGGGAGCACTTAAAGTTCCTGAACCTGTATTCCCTGGAATGCAGGCGGGAGAGATACATGATTACATACACCTGGAAAATCCTAGAGGGACTAGTACCGAACTTGCACACGAAAATCACTCACAACGAAAGCAAAAGACTTGGCAGACGATACAACATCCCCCCAATGAAAAGCAAGGTCACTAGCACGTTAAGAGACAATACAATAAGTGTCAGGGTCCCGAGACTGTTCAACTGCCTCCCAGCATACATAAGGGGGATTACCAACAGACCCTTGGCAGTCTTCAAGCTGGCACTGGACAAGCACCTAAAGCCGGTACCTGACCAGCAGGGCTGTGGCTCGTACGTTGGATTGCGTGCAGCCAGCAGTAACAGCCTCGTTACCAGATCAGGCTCTGATCCACCAGGAGGCCTGGTCACAGACCGGGCCGCGGGGGCGTTGACCACCGGAACTCTCTCCAGGTAAACAACTACCATAACAACTACCACAACAACTACCACAACTACTACCACAACTACTACCACAACTACCACAAGAACTACCACAACAACTACCACAACTACTACCACAACAACTACCACAACGACTATCACAACAGATACCACAACAACTACCACAACAACTACCACAACAACTACCACAACAGCTACCATAACAACTACCACAACAACTACCACAACTACTACCACAACAACTACCACAACTACCTCAACAACACAACAACTATCACAATTACCACAACAACTGCCATAACTACCCAATAACTGCCACAGCAACTTCACAACAACTGCCACGACAACTACCACAACAGCTACCACAACAAAGTACCACAACTACTACCACAAACAACTACCACAACTACCACCACAACTACTACCACAACTACCACAACTACTACCACAACTACCACAACTACTACCACAACAACTACCACAACAACTACCACAACAACTACCACAACAACTACCACAACAACTACCACAGCTACTACCACAACAACTACCACGACAACTACCACAACAACTACCACAACAACTACCACAACTACTACCACAACAACCACAACAACTACCACAACAACTACCACAACTACTACCACTCACTTGGAACACACAAGGCAGCAGGATAACCAGGTTGATCACTGCCAGGACAGCACTGATCCAGGCTGGAGCAGTGTACTTGTTCCACTGGAACCATTCGACACCAGTGTCCAAGTTATCCGGGATGGTCAAAGTCAGCACAGCCTGTAGAACTGGAACAATGTTGTCATAAATGAAATAACGTTGTAATAATTTGAACAATGTTTTGATAACTGGAACAATGTTGTGTCAGCATAGTTGTTGGTCCCCCTCATGTGTTGTATAGCTTATCTGAGTATCATAGTTAGCACCATCCATATGTTTTACATACACGACCCCTTGCTAGGCCTAGGGACTAGATTATGTGACGTCACGTGACGCTGTTGTGAGCCCTTCCCGCCTGGGATCCTTCTCAGTTCCTGGTAATCGAAGCAGGTGATAGGACAGGCAGGCTGGGTCTCTCCCTACACACTCTGCAATATAGTGTTACCATCCAACAAGTGTGTTTATCTCCAGCCTTCATATCTCCTACGAACCCGCCACGACAGTTGTGATAACTGGAAAAATATTGTGATAACTGGAGCAATGTTGTGATAACTGGAACAATATTGTGATAACTGGAACAATGTTGTGATAACTGGAACTATGTTGTGATAACTGGAACAATGTTGTGATAACTGGAACAATGTTGTGATAACTGGAACAATGTTGTGATAAATGGAATAATGTTGTGATAACTGGAACAATGTTGTGATAACTGGAATAATATTGTGATAACTGGAACAATGTTGTGATAACTGGAACAATGTTGTGATAACTGGAACAATGTTGTGATAACTGGAATAATGTTGTGATAACTGGAATAATGTTGTGATAACTGGAACAATGTTCTGGTAACTAGAACAATGTTGTGATAACTGGAACAATGTTGTGATAACTGGAATAATGTTATGATAACTGTAACAATGTTCTGATAACTGGAACAATGTTGTGATAACTGGAACTATGTTGTGATAACTGGAACAAGGTTGTGATAACTGGAACAATGTTGTGATAACTGGAACAAGGTTGTGATAACTGGAACAATGTTGTGATAACTGGAACAATGTTGTGATAACTGGAACAACGTTGTGATAACTGGAACAATGTTGTGATAACTGGAATAATGTTGTGATACCTGGAACAATGTTGTGATAACTGGAACTATGTTGTGATAACTGGAACAATACCTGGAGTTTACCTGGAGAGAGTTCCGGGGGTCAACGCCCCCGCGGCCCGGTCTGTGACCAGGCCTCCTGGTGGATCAGAGCCTGATCAACCAGGCTGTTGCTGCTGGCTGCATGCAAACCAACGTACGAGCCACAGCCCGGCTGATCAGGAACTGACTTTAGGTGCTTGTCCAGTGCCAGCTTGAAGACTGCCAGGGGTCTGTTGGTAATCCCCCTTATGTGTGCTGGGAGGCAGTTGAACAGTCTCGGGCCCCTGACACTTATTGTATGGTCTCTTAACGTGCTAGTGACACCCCTGCTTTTCATTGGGGGGATGGTGCATCGTCTGCCAAGTCTTTTGCTTTCATAGTGAGTGATTTTCGTGTGCAAGTTCGGTACTAGTCCCTCTAGGATTTTCCAGGTGTATATAATCATGTATCTCTCCCTCCTGCGTTCCAGGGAATACAGGTTTAGGAACCTCAAGCGCTCCCAGTAATTGAGGTGTTTTATCTCCGTTATGCGTGCCGTGAAAGTTCTCTGTACATTTTCTAGGTCGGCAATTTCACCTGCCTTGAAAGGTGCTGTTAGAGTGCAGCAATATTCCAGCCTAGATAGAACAAGTGACCTGAAGAGTGTCATCATGGGCTTGGCCTCCCTAGTTTTGAAGGTTCTCATTATCCATCCTGTCATTTTTCTAGCAGATGCGATTGATACAATGTTATGGTCCTTGAAGGTGAGATCCTCCGACATGATCACTCCCAGGTCTTTGACGTTGGTGTTTCGCTCTATTTTGTGGCCAGAATTTCTTTTGTACTCTGATGAAGATTTAATTTCCTCATGTTTACCATATCTGAGTAATTGAAATTTCTCATCGTTGAACTTCATATTGTTTTCTGCAGCCCACTGAAAGATTTGGTTGATGTCCGCCTGGAGCCTTGCAGTGTCTGCAATGGAAGACACTGTCATGCAGATTCGGGTGTCGTGGTGTTGATATGTCAGGGAGATTGCAACATCCAAAACATTTATTATAAAACTGCAATAATCATCACAAACTGCAGAGAAAATCCCATGACAAACTTCCATACATCCAAAGGACAAAGTAAAGCAATATGGAAAAATAGACACAAAGTATAATGTGATCCTATTTGACTGTTTAACACACACACTGGCTTTATCAAAATGTGTTTGTGACACTGTGGCTTTATCAAGATGTGTTTGTGACACTGGCTTTATCAAGATGTGTGTGTGACACTGTGGCTTTATCAAGATGATGTTTGTGACTTGATAAAGTCCACTGTGTGGGTCAAACAGAGTTGATAAAGGACTGCATTACTCTGCATTTCTGTCTATTTCTCCATGTTGGTGTTTTATACCATTTATCTCCATCTTAGAGCAATATATAATTATCCCTACATGTAACATCACCTCTAAGATCACAATTTTTTTGTACCCAAGCCAATAAGAAATTGTGTGTGTCATCTTGTATTATTTGTGATGTTGAGACAAAGTTGTGTTAACTGGAACAATGTTGTGATAACTGGAACTATGTTGTGATAACTGGAACAATGTTGTGATAACTGGAACAAAGTTGTGATAACTGGAACAAAGTTGTGGTAACTGGAACAATGTTGTGTTAACTGGAACAACGTTGTGATAACTGGAATAATGTTGTGATAACTGGAGCAATGTTGTAATAACTGGAACAACGTTGTGATAACTGGAACAATGTTGTGATAACTGGAACAATGCTGTGATAACTGGAACAATCTGGAGTGGAACCACAGTCGATGGCCTCCACTCCAAACAAACAGATACAGATACTAATGCCCGGAAAAGAAATCCACCCCCAGTACCAACAATACCACCAGTCCGATAACATTCTTCTTTGCAAATATACAGGGTCTAAAGCCAGCAACAAACAACAAGATGCCTTTCATCCGTGGACTGCTTGCAGAGGCAAAGGCAATGTTCGCGGCTTTCACAGAGACCCACATAAAGGATCACTTGGACAATGAAATATGGATCCCAGGTTACAACCTATACAGATGTGACAGAGTGAACAGGCAAAAGGGTGGGGGGTTGGCCTGTACATTGCAGAGTCACTTGTTTGCACAGAACTGCTAAATGCCTCAAATGATGTAGTGGAAGTTTTAGCAGTAAAGGTCGAGAACCAAAACCTAGTCATTGTGGTAGTCTACAAGCCTCCGGATGCAACATCCCAGCAATTCCAGGAACAGCTGTTAAAAATTGACCACTGTCTGGAAAATCTTCCAGCTCCTGCACCCAACATCTTGCTCCTGGGGGATTTCAACTTAAGGCACCTAAAATTGAGGAATATAGCAAATAATATTGTTGCAGTAATGACACCAGGAGGCAGCTCTGATGAAAACTCACACTCACACGAGCTTTTAAATCTCTGCACAAAATTCAATTTAAACCAGCAAATAATAGAGCCTACTAGACTGGAGAATACACTAGACCTCATCTTCACTAACAATGATGATCTGATAAGAAATGTCACCATATCAAAAACAATATACTCAGATCACAACGTAATTGAGGTTCAGACATGTATGCGTGGAGCCCCAGACCGACATAATGAGACTAGTCACGAGGGAGCATTCACCAAATTCAACTTCAATAACAAAAACATAAAGTGGGACCAAGTAAACCAAGTCCTAACCGATATAAGCTGGGAAGATATACTAAGCAACACAGACCCCAACTTATGCCTAGAACAGATTAACTTGGTGGCACTCGATGTATGCACAAGGCTTATTCCTCTAAGAAAAAGGAGGAGTAGATGCAAAATAGAAAGAGACAGGCGCTCCCTTTACAGGCGACGGAAAAGAATAACAGAGCGGCTAAAAGAGGTCAATATATCTGAAATGCGTAGGGAGACACTGGTCAGAGAAATAGCAAGCATCGAACTTAAGCTAAAGGAATCTTATAGGAGTCAGGAATTGCGGGAAGAACTAAAAGCCATAAATGAAATCGAAAGAAACCCAAAGTATTTCTTCTCCTATGCCAAATCAAAGTCGAGAACAACGTCCAGTATTGGGCCCCTACTTAAACAAGATGGGTCCTACACAGATGACAGCAAGGAAATGAGTGAGCTACTCAAGTCCCAATATGACTCAGTTTTTAGCAAGCCACTAACCAGACTGAGAGTCGAAGATCAAAATGAATTTTTTATGAGAGAGCCACAAAATTTGGTTAACACAAGCCTATCCGATGTTATCCTGACGCCAAATGACTTCGAACAGGCGATAAATGACATGCCCATGCACTCTGCCCCAGGGCCAGACTCATGGAACTCCGTATTCATCAAGAACTGCAAGAAGCCCCTATCACGAGCCTTTTCCATCCTATGGAGAGGGAGCATGGACACGGGAGCCGTCCCACAGTTACTAAAAACAACAGACATAGCCCCACTCCACAAAGGGGGCAGCAAACCAACAGCAAAGAACTACAGACCGATAGCACTAACATCCCATATCATAAAAATCTTTGAAAGGGTCCTAAGAAGCAAGATCACCACCCATCTAGAAACCCATCAGTTACACAACCCAGGGCAACATGGGTTTAGAACAGGTCACTCCTGTCTGTCTCAACTATTGGATCACTACGACAAGGTCCTAAATGCACTAGAAGATAAAAAGAATGCACATGTAAAATATACAGACTTTGCAAAAGCCTTCGACAAGTGTGACCATGGCGTAATAGCGAACAAAATGCGTGCTAAAGGAATAACAGGAAAAGTCGGTCAATGGATCTATAATTTCCTCACTAACAGAACACAGAGAGTAGTCGTCAACAGAGTAAAGTCCGAGGCAACTACAGTGAAAAGCTCTGTTCCACAAGGCACAGTACTCGCTCCCATCTTGTTCCTCATCCTCATATCCGACATAGACAAGGATGTCAGCCACAGCACCGTGTCTTCCTTTGTAGATAACACCCGAATC